ATGGGGGGAGGAGGGAAAGGAAGAGGAATTGTGCGGCACGAGGAGGAGGATGATGATGGGGGGGGGGGGGCGGGAAGGAGGAAGGAAGGAAAGGAAGATGACAAGAAGGATGAGAAGTCGAAGTTTGGGCAAATGTTTGTACGAACGGCTTGGGGGGGAATATTTGGTGCCATTTTACGGGTTCGCTTGGGTTCCCCGTGCGGCTCTCTAGGGATTCGTTTGGGGGTCTCCCGCGGCTTTCTTCAGGTTCTCGCGGGGTTTGTTGGGTGGTCGTGGGGCCCTGTTGGAGCTCTGTTGGGGGATCTGGGAGGCCTCTTGGGGCCGCGTTGGGCCCCTTCGCTCAAAAAGAGAGGGGTTCAAACTTTTGGTTCCCCCCCTCGAAGGTCCAAAAGGGGCGTTTTGGTGACCTATTAAGCCGCTCTTTGGCACTCTTGGGGCCGTCTTGGGCCTCTCTTGGGGCTATGTTGGGCCATTTGGGGGCCACCTTGACAACTCAAGAACCCATCGGAAGCGAAAAAACGAAAAGGCAACACACATGGATTCCCAACCATCCTGTGGTGTTTGGTCTTCGTTTTGAAGAGACAGCGCCCCGCGTCACTCCTTTCCTCCTCCCCCTCCCTCCTCTTCTCATCAGCATCATCATCACCAGCAGCATCATCATTCTTATCCTTTTCAGCATCATCATCCTCATCCTCATCCTCATCACCGTTATCGTCATCATCACCGTCACCATCGTAATCATCATCCTCGCTGTCATCATCACAATCCTCATCACGACCATCGTCATCATCATCGCCGTCGACACACCCATTTCGGCACACCCCTCACACGTTTCATGGCCCCATAGGGAGCTCCACCGAAGGCCCCAGTAGGGGTGGCCACATGCGTTCGCCACACCCAGTACAGCGTTTCGTAGGCCCATACGGAAATCCATCGGCGGCCCCAGTAGGGGTGGCCACATGCGTCGGCCGCACCCATGTCGGCGCACCCCTCACATGTTTCGTGGCTCTATAAGGGAGCTCCAACTAAGGGCCCCGCCCGCCACACCCAGTACAGCGCTAGGAACTTCCAGCGAAGGCCCCAGTAGGGGTGGCCACATGCGTCCGCCACCCAGTACAGCGTTTCGTGACCCCATCAGGAGCTTCACCGAAGGGCCCAGCGGGGGTGGCCACATGCGTCCGCCACACCCTGGATAGCACTTCGTGGTCCCATAGGGAGTTTCATCGGAAGCACCAGTAGGGGTGGCAACATGCGTCCGCCACACCTAGTACAGCGCTTCGTGGCCCCATTGGGAGTTCCACCGAGGGCCCCAGTGGGGTTGGCCACGTGCGCCCGCCACGCCCAGCACAGCGTTCCGTGGCCCCATGGGGAGCTCAATCGAAGGCACCAATGGGGGTGTCCGCATGCGTCCGCCACACCCAGTACAGCGCTTCGTGGTTTCATAGGGAGCTCCACCTCCACACCCAGTACAGCGCCACGTGGCCCCATCAGGAGCTCCACCGAATGCCTCACTGGGGGGGGGCACATGCGTCCGCCACAGGCTTCGCGCAGGGAGCGCAGAAGGGAGCCAATGAGGAGCTCCACCGAAGGCCCCAGTGACACCGCCCGCATGTGTCCGCCACACCCACGGTCCCAGGCAACAGCTCCAGACCTCTGGAGGAGGAGGAGGAGGAGGAGGAGGAGGAGGAGGAGGAGGAGGAGGAGGCCCGCCCCCCCTCGTTTGCATTTTGCCTTGCATCCGCGGGAAGTTCCATTCCACCAGCGACGGTATTTCCGGTGTTCTCGCTGGGGCTGCCGTAAATGATCAGTGGAGGAGTGGTTTGGTGGATGTCGTCGCTGTCGTCTGCGTCCGGCGGCGGCTCCGGGTCGCCCCGCGGCATGCGGGCCGGCGGCCGTGGACGCGCCGGGGATCTTCCGCATCCGCGGGAACGTGGCCGACCACGGGCTTGCGAACTGTTCGTCCGGGCAGGCCGCGCTCCCGCCAAAGAGAGGCAGGCGAACGGGTGAAACGGCGCCCCCAGGCAGTCGACGGCCAGACCTCTGGGGCGCGAGCAGTCCGCAGCCAGACCCTTCTTTCGGTCCTGTGGACTCGCTCTGGGCCGTCGGCTGTCCGGCGCGCTGCCCCCTCGGCCGACGTCGCCCAGGCGCGATCCTGGACCGCGGCCGCCACGAGGTCGGGAACGGCAAGAAGGAGGGCGACTCGCGGCTGGAGTTCCACGCGCTGCTCTCGCGCGCCACCCGCCACGAGGACCTCCTGCGCACGCGGGCGCCGCGCATCGAGTTTTTCCTGGCGGGGCCGCCGGAGGGCTCGCGGAAGCAGCTGGAGCAGTTTGCGGCGCGCGCGCGAAGCGGCGCAGGAGGGAGGCGACGGCCCCCGCCAGGGAACTCGGCTTCACCGAGTTTTATCCGCGAGGCTTGACCGGAGGAGCGCCCCGCCCGAGCCGCGCCTTCTCTCGACTGCCCAACTGATTTTTTGGCCTCGCGCCGCGCTCTGCCCGGCGCGCGTCGCTGGGACCCCGCGCCGCGCTCTGCCCGGCGCCTCGCCCGCCCGTCGTCGCTCTGCCCAGCGGCCGGAGCCTCGCCCGCTATCAGCCAGCCAGCCAGCCCCCCCTGCTCCGCGCAGCGGACGAGCCGCGCGCGTCGTTGGGACCCCTCCGGGGCGACCGGCGCGCGTCGCGGGGGCCCCCGGTACTTTGGAGCGCGCGGGCAAACTGGGAGGAAAAAAAGGAGAGGAAGCGGGCGCGATCCTCGTGGAGGGCGCGCCGACGTGGGCGTCGCGGCGCGCGGGCGCCGCCGTCGGAGCCCCCGGCGAAGCTCCCTGCGGCGGCCGCCCTCAGCGCCCCGAGCACTCAGAGCCAGGCGTACCCGAACCATTACATTCATATGCATGCACACATGGCGTAGCCATGCTCGCATTCATGCAAATACATTCACTTGCACGCAGACCCATCCACACTCAGACTCACTCGCGCGCAGACTCACCCGCGCTCAGTCTGTCGCAATTAGACATGTCGTCTTCGCTCGCGATGTGCACCCCGGCACACAAGTCGGCACGCTCCTGATGCGTACATAGGGAGCGCCACCGAAGAAGATATTCACAATTGCGGTACGCACAGGTGCATATGGTTGGGGCACTCGCCTGGCGAATTCCCCTTAGGTGTTGAACCCATTTGGGCCTTTTGGGGGTTCGTTGGAGGGCGCGGACGGCATTTGAAACTGTTTTGGGGCCGTTTTGGGGCCTCTTGAATGCGTGCCGGAGGCTATCTTGAACCGCATCGAAGTAGATTTGGTCATCTAGAAGGCCATTTTGAAGTATTTACAACCCTCCTGGAACTATCTTAGGCCATCTTGGACGCTCTAACACTTCGCCCCCCTTTCCAGCCCCAGGGAGGGGAGGGGGGAGGTAAATTTCCCGGCCAGGGAAATGAAGGAGACTGGAAGAAGAAACGTTCAAGACCACATGCGCCAAGAGGGCGAATAGGATTATTCAATTAGAATACTATTGTAGTGATTTCCGGCCAGTGCCGCCGATCCGGGGTGCTACCGATTCTGCTTGCAACGGCTGAAATCTGATGTTTAAAAGTAGAGCACTCGCTTCAGACATCCTCATAAGATAGAGCTGTTGAACTCGCTTGGGCAACCTTCGGACATGTGAAAGTGACGGTTTCGCGTGGACAGCCAAACTCATGGGATGCTGACGCAGTTGATGTATGACACCTTTGGGGGACATTCCTGGGTTTCTCGGGTGGCTTTTGGGGGGCATCCTGGAGGTTTCTTGGGGGCGCGCAGGAGGAAGTGTTTGGATCTCTTGGGGGCCTTGTGGGGGCCCCCTTGGGATTTCTTGGGCCGTCTTGGGCCCTGTTCGGGCCGTTTTGGAGCCTTCTTCAGGCGCGAATGGCGTCAGCCATGGCGTCGGCTCTCCCCCCCCTCCCTCTCCCGAGCCTGAATGGCGTCAGCCATGGGGTCAGCCCCCACCCCCCCGACAAAGTGAAACTTGAGCGAGTTCCCCCCCCTCCCTCCTCCCGGGCCTGAGTGGCGTCAGGCACGGCGTCAGCCCTCCCCCCCCCTTCCCCCCCGACTCTTGGGCCACGTTGGACGCTTTAAGACCTCGCCCCCCCCTCCAGACCCAGGGAGGGGAGGGGGGATGTAAACTTCCTGAGCAGGGACAGGAAGGAGGCTGGAAAAGGAAACGCTCAAGACAACCTGCGCCCAGAGGGCCGGTGGGACTACTCAATCTGAATACGATTCTTCCCTCCCTCCCGAAGACTCCTACGAGGGAGCCCGCCCCCCTCCGCGTATTGTTTTTTACACCAGATGCCTGCAAGGTATATTTTGCATGTCGCTTTCCAATCGGAGCGTTTTCGGCTCTTCTAAAATATTGCGCACGCGGCATCGCTCGCCTCATGTTGGGGCTTCCGTTCGATCCGAATCGTGTTGCCGCTGCAGCGTTGGCCTCCTTTCCGTGCTTCCGCTCGATCCGAATCGTGTTGCCGCTGCAGCATTGTCTTCATTTCCGGCGCTTCCGCTCGTTCCGAATCGTGTTCCTGTTGTTGTGTTGGCCTCATTTCCGCGCTTCTGTTCGTTCCGAATCCAGCTCCCGTTGCAGCCCCAGTCTCATTTCCATTGCCCTGGCATGGCATGCAATGCAATGCAATGCTATTTTGTGTTCCGCTGTGCGATGCCATGCCTTCTGCTGCTTTTCTATGATACGTAGTGCTTGACCTCGGTGTGTTACGCCACGTTCTGTCATGCTACGCTTTGATCTTCAACGCCATGCTAATTATGTCTTGCAGTTTCACGCCATGCAACGACATCCGACTGTGCGAATAGAGAGGATATCTACGCCATGTTGAGGAATGGGAGGGAGGGTAGGACGTCAGACAAGACGCTTGCGCGCCCACCTTGTCCCTCCCTCTCTCCTCCCTCCTCCTCTCCTCTCCCTCCCTCCCTCTCTCCTTCCTCATCCTCCCTCCCCCCCTCGACCCCCCCTCGACGCCGAGGCTCCGACGCGACGGCCGTGGTGGAGGCCAACGGCGGCCTCCCCGCCGCCGCGGCCACGGACAAGGAGCGCGGCCGCGGCCCGGGCGGGGCGCAGCCATCGGAGGCGCCATCGGCTTCTTCGGGCACGCCGTCGTCTCGTCGCCGCCGTCTCGTCGCCGCCGTCGTGTTGTCGACGCCGTCGTCGCGTTGCCGCCGTCGTCGCGTCGCCGGCGTCTCATCGCCGCCGTCGTCGCATCGTCCCATCGTCTCGTCGCCATCGTCGCCATCGTCTCGTCGTCGCCGCCGTCTCGCCGCCGCCGTCGCCGCGGCCCTGGCGTTGCGATGCCGCCAGTCGCGCCGTCGGCTTGCAGGATAAGCTGTCGGTCGTCGTCGCCTGTTCGGCGTGAAGTCAGACGAGCAGGAGGTCATGATAATGGTGCGCTCCAAGGGTTCAGGTGTGGTCCTGTCGTCTCGCGCAGCCAGAGACGCATGGTCAAGGGCCGCTAGAAACTTATGTAATCCTGGAACGTATCCCGAGCCAATGGCAGCGGCACATGATTTTCGTCCTTTGAAGGTTCTGGACTGTACAGTGGATACCCGGTGTAACGTTCAGTGGCCATGGCCCGACTGTCTAACCCCACCAGGTGGATTTTCTTTTGGCCCCCAGTACACTTTTAAATGACAGTACTCGTACTCCAGCGCCACCGCCAATTCGCAGCAAGTTTAGCTCAAGCTTGCAGAGTTGATTGCACTTGGAAGTCGCAGGTGGACCCCGGCAGGGTCCGGGCCGCCACTGGTAGTGAACTCCGTTTGCACGTCGCGTGCATCTCGCACTGTTGGCTTCAGGCTGATCATCCAGACCCGCGCGGGCACAACCTGCGCACTCTGGGCCGGGTGCTTCGCTAGTTGGGCCGTTTTCTTGGATCCCTGTAGCATTCATCAGAATTGCACAGATTGTGAGGGTTTCCCTCAGCCATGAACGGACGTATCAGACACTCCCAGGCACCGAGTGGTTCGAGGATGACGCGATCGGCAAGTTTGAGTCAGAGAAGGCCCTCTTCGAAGAGGCATTAGCAAGCTTGGGGATCATGTATTCCCACCCCAAGGTGTCAGTTATCATGTTGACGCAATTTCTGGCTGACTACGACGATCCATCCGCGTACACGCGCTCCGGCAACACGGAGCAGTACTTCGATCGCGGTTGGTGTTGTTGCGAGTCTGCTTGGGCGATGCTGGCCAAGCCCAGCTACATGCTCCTCCTGCCCGACGACCTCGACGCGCCAGGGAGAAAGGCGCCTGTCCTGCCCGACGCTTTCGCGGCAGAGCTCGAAACCAAGTCTTTCTCGCACGACAGGGAGAATCGCGCGGCGAGAACTGGACACGCCCACTGCCTTTGACCAGGCCCATCTTGGGCCCAGGAGCATCGTGCGTGCCTCCCCGGCCAGGCCAGGAGAGCGTGTGCACCGCTCCCGAGCCCAGGGTCGGCCTGACCAGGAGGCAGTGGTTGTGCATGGATGCACCGATCTCGTCGCCTCGCGAGGACCGCCCCGGGGTCGCCGAGCTACACCGCTCGTCCTCTGCGCAGCGCTTCGGCACCGCGGAGGTGCTCGACTGCAGCCGCCTGGGCTGGGGCGACCCGGAGCGCGCCGCACGGCCGATGCGAAGGCGCCGCGGCACGATCCCACGATCCCATCTAGTCGGACCCCATTTAGGAGGCCTCTACTCGTAAGTCCAGCGCAGATCCAAGACATCCGCGCGGAGTTCCGAAAGCTTGTGCTTGCACCGTTCTTTGCTCCTTTCTGAGCGAGGGCGCGTCCCGCCTGGCGGAGGCGCTGCGGGCGCCAGGTGCGCTGCCGGAGCTGCGAGGGCTCTCGCTCCGCAGCCTGAGGGGCTGCCAGAGGTGGTCCCGGCCAGGGTGTTCCCGCCCTCCCCTGACCCCCTCTCTTCGTGAGATCACCCGAGACGTACCAAACCTTGTCTACACGTGAGGCGATTATTTTCGCGAGCTCTTCATGCACAGGAGCTCTTGCGGGCTATGCGCAGGGGTCGCCGGACAATGTCGGGCCACGCACCACACCCCCTCAACATAGAACGCGTGACAGGAGTGGAGATGGAGGGGGGGGGAGGAAGAGGGGGAAGAGGACAAGGAGGACGGAGAACGAAGGGGAAACAAATTGTCGAGGGCCGCATCGCCATACGCTACATCTGATGGGTTCGCCCGCGGTACCGCAGCGGGTGGCAGGCGCCCGAAGAGGCCCGGCGAGAGGGCGATTGAGGACACCCCAATGCGCTCTGTGCCACTTCAGCGCCTTGCGCTGTGTGATGCAAAAGCGCTGCGGTCAGAATGACGGAACAGCGCTGCGCGCAATGTGGGCGCGCGCCTTTTCATACTCGATTGGTAATCGTTCGTTGCAAGCGGCACCGACGGTGCCGCCAAAGTTGCGCCCAGAACCTGTTTGCGGCCTTCATTCCTTCAATCGCGCACGAATTTGGGAAGGCCGAGCGCGTGCGCCATCTTCGCGGACGGGTTCCTGTAGTTTTCCGCGCGGGCACTGAAAGCCCGGAGGTGAGCGGCCAGGTCCGCCAGCGGCCCCCGCGACAAAAAATTCAAGCTGGGGCCTCGGATGATGAGGAAGTTGTCAAAGGTCATCGCTCTGGATAGCATGACGTAGAAGTGCAACCAAATGGAGTCCAAGTCGTCGACGTCCTTATGCCCATCTTCGACGATGACGCCCTCGTGCATGGTCTGGCCGTGACAAGCCGTCGACGCGAGCACCGTGGCGCGGGAGATGTGCAAGTCTGTCCGCGTGACATAGAGCTTCGGAAATGATGGGGGTGGATATTTGCGGCTCGATGAAACGAGCCTCCCCAGAGCCTCCAAGGAGCCCACGATTGCGGCGACAGTTCTGCAGCACGCAGACCCCCAGGGACGGCGAGGTCTCATGGCGGTCTGCGTAAGCCGTCACTCAGCTGGGCTTCCCAGGAGCCCACGAAAGTGGCGACAGTTGCGCAGTTCGCTGCCCGCAAGTGACGGCGAGGTACTACGGTGGTCCGCGTAAGACGTCACCCCGCCGAGCCGAGGAGCCCACGAAAGTGGCAACAGTTTCGCAGATCGCGGCCCCCCAGGGACGGCGAGGTCTCATGGCGCTTTGCGTAAGATGTCACTCTGCTGGGCCGCCCTTCAGGAGCGTACGAAAGTGGCGACAGGTTCGCAGATCGCGGCCCCCCCAGGGACGGCGAGATCGAATGGTGGTTTGCGCAAGACGACAGTCTGCCAGGCTTCCCAGTAGCCGACGAAATCGGCGACAGCTTTGCAGTTCGCAGCCCCCCAGGGACGGCGAGATCGAATGGTGGTATGCGCAAAACGACATTCTGGTCGGCCTCCCAGGAGCCCACGACAATGTTTGCACTTTCGCAGATCGCAGCCCGCCAGGGACGGCGAGGTTTCATGGCGGTTTGCGCAAAGTGGCGACAGTTGGGCAGCTCATGGCCGCCCAGGGAGCAGCGCAGGAGGAGAGGGGAGGCGGGGGAGGAGGAAGTGGAAACCATTGTTCTTTAACTGTTCAAAACGAGAACCGAACACAGGAGGGTTGGACAACAAAATAGTAACAAGAACAACCCATTGTTTTCTCAGTTTTCGGCCTGTCGGGGCCCACGCCAGCCCCCAGCGCGGATCGGCATGGAAAGGCCGCTCCCCGGGCAGGGGTCCCGACCTCTTGGGGTCCACGTTGTGCGAAGATCACGACCCAGCGTCCAGGTCTCGCGCCATCTTGGGTTTTGTGTGGGGCTTCTTTGGACGACGACAGCACCATGAACATGAGTTATATACCTACTCTTGTTCCGAAAGAAGAAGTATGGCCAAGATGTCGAGGGATCTTGTCGACGCCAATGTTGGTCATGGTCAATGCTGGCCGCCGCCGATTCGCCAGTATGATCCACGAATCGACGATGACCAGGATGGACGATGCCCAGGATCGGCTGCTTGCCTCCAGGGTGCCCTGGGTTTCTTGGGTCTCGATGGCTTTGCGATGGAAGGCTTGACGTTCCCACGCCCAAAATCGATGGACGTCCTGGGGTCTCAGGGCTGGGTTTCTTGTGGAAGGTTTCTTGCGGAAGTGCCCCTCCTGTACCCTTCGGGCGGGGTTAGGCCAGGGATCAATCGCTCCAGAGATTTCCACCACACTCCCACAGCGTTCCAGAAAGCTCTGAAACGGCCGCGGCGCCCGATACATCCTCCAGAACCGCTTGATTGCGGAGATCGCCGATTTGTGCCGATTCCGAGCTTGTCCTGTTCTCGGTTGCGTCTTAACCTTGGGCCAGGGGCCTCTCCGGAAGCGCCCGAAGAGCCAGATCCCACGGCTCGGCGAGGAGGGCAAGTCGGCGTTGAAGGTTGCGTGGGCGGCGGCCAGGCGGACCGAGGAGCTCTGGGTCCTGTGATGGAGCTGTCAGCGGGGGTGGCGCTACCAACGGCGCGTGTTACTCGAAGCCTGGCGAATCTCTCCCCGTGTACGGTACGGCGTGTGCTTGTCGAAACTTTTCCCGGGTGGTCGTAAATGTTCCGACTTCTCCTCGCCAACGTTGTGAGAACGCATTTCCAGGTGATATTTGTTTGGTGATCGTTAGAGCGCTTGGTGGTGGAACAAACATTCGACGGACGAGAACAGTGCGATAGCCGCAGCCCGATAAGGACAGCTACACTGCTATAGAATTCGCTCGTCAGCAGCGCTATCAGCGCCAGCAGTGCGACGCCAGGCACCACTACGGGCACCAGTAGCATCACGCGCAGCACGACGGGTACCAACGGTACATCCCTGAGCAGCACTACGGGCGCGGGCAGCACGACGATGCGCGATGCGACGGGCACCATCAGCACGACGCCGAGCAACGCAACGTACGCCGTGAGCCCCGCGCTGGGAGTTGGACACCCCTTCGTTCGGTAGCAAATCATGGGAGTCTGGTATACCCACTTGAATCCGTCTTGAGCGTCGACGAACGTCGATTAGCGTCTGGGAGTCGATGAGATAGCGCCATTTCAGCGTCGATGTAGTGTGGATTCATCGTCGACTGGCGTCGATTCATCAGAGCCGACAAGACTGCACGGGAGGTTCCCGTGAGTTGCCCCCGAACGCTCGCCAGCCCAGCATGGGGCAGCACAACGGGCTGCACCAGCACGACGATGACCAGCGCGGGCGCGGCAGGGCCCGGCAGCCCGACGGGACGTGCGTCTTGAGGGCTCGGCGTGCCTCTCCCTCCTCTGCCCTCCTCTCCCGCTCTGTGTCCTCGGGGTATGGGGACCAACCCGCTGGGCAGACGATATCAAGCAGTATGCACGGACAGCGTGACTGCTTCCTTCTTCCTTGTTTTGCCGATCGGCGCGCGCCGTCGCGCCCCCTCCCCCCCCCCCTGGAGTAGATCTTGGCTGTTCTTGGCGCCTGTTTCGAGCAGGTGGGGTCTCCCCCATAGGATTCAGTCGGGCATGTCCTTCTACAGGGGGAACATGCAAAAATATTCGAACAGACATCAAGAGTACAGCTTGTTTGTACAATGTTTGAGTATAGCTTATTTTTCTTCCAATATCCGCCTGTATGGGGGACATGCCCGACCTAACCATAGGACGCACAGTTGCAAACAGTCGCGTTAAGCAGAGGTCCGGAGCCAGACCCCTTCCCTCCCCCCAACCCTTCCGCCCAATGTCGAAACGCCGAATGAGAAAACGTTCACTATTGGGAATGACCCTTGGGTACAAGTGGCAAAATCACCGATTTGGGATACGTCGATGGACGAATGCGTGAAGAAGTGAGTGGGCTTAATCTGACCCCCCGGCCGCTCCCTCGCGGAGCCGTGTGCCAGCGTCCGTCCGTCCGTCCGTGGGGACCAACCGCGTCCACAAGCGCCTGACCAGAAATGGATGTGTTTTCCGGGGGTGGACAACACCCCCACATTGACACGTCGATTAGTGAATTGTCCGTTTTCGGTTCTTGAGAGGGCGCCGGCGCCCGCCAAGTTTGGGCCCGAGGTCGTTTCCACTAAACCACGTTTTACTAAAGGGGGTTCTGTCCATCCACCAGTTTTACCCGAGGGAGCGCAAACGTGGACCTGAGGCGCGCGGATGGGCGACGGGCCCCGCTTCCACACAACGCCAGCGCGCTCCGTCGCCAGATCGGGCGGCGCTCCAGCCTCATGCTGTGGGGGCCACCCTCGCCGATCTGTGGATGTGGCGCCCGCGCGCCAGATCCACGGAACTGTAATCCATGTTGGCGTTTGGGCGTCGCTTCACGGGGGAGCGCCAAATGGTGGGGAGACAGGTGTACTTCTTGGGCCCTGAAGGCCCGCTTCTGCGCCCGAAAGGGCCGCTAAAGGGCCCCTTTTCTGCTGCCCTCGTTGCCCCCCCATTTATCGCCCCCCGATTTGTCGCGGCCCAAAGCGTGCGAACGAGTTCTAGAGTTTGCCGTATGTTTACTGTTGCGCCCATCTTCACCGATAACGTCAGATCCCTTGGTGGCCCTCGGCGCACCTCGCCCCATGCACCGAAGGGCCCCCGAGGACAGACACGCGTTGGCGTTTGCACACGTCCTCCAGCCAAGGGACCCTCCCCGCCGCCCCACCCAGCGTTCGGCACTGCCTGCTGGACCACCAGGAAACCAGATGCGCACGACGTGGCTGGACATGGCGAGAGTTGGATGGCTGGGCACGCCAGCCCTTCACATGCGAATCCAGCGCGAGGCCTTCACGTGCTCCACACGCGAATCCAACCATATGCGTTGGGTCCAGCGGATCCTCGCCCGTGGCGCCCGAGTTTGCAGCTCCTCAATCCTTGCGCGTCGGATCCCGCCAGCCCGCCTCTGCCCCTGGGGACGCCGAGGGGCAGAAGGAAGACGAGGGGACGACGAGAGTCGAGGAACAAGAAGCAGTATCAACATACACTTTCGGCTCTCCGCGCGGATTTCCGACAGCTCTTGTTTCTGTAGCTTTTTGTTCCTCCTGAGACGGAGCAGCGGTCGGGCCCAGGACCGGGGCGCTCTCGGGTCGCTTCCGAGCGCTCTGGAACGGCCGCAACGCCCGCCAGAACCGCCGGACCTCAGAGATCTCCGCTACTGGCCGTCGGTCAGTGCCGCCAGTCCGGGGTTCTCTGGATGTGACCCTTTCCCCTCTTACCCCCCTCCCCTTCGCTCTCTTCTTCCTCTCTCCCTCCACTCTCGATCCCCTTCCATTCTCCGTCCCATCTCTCATATTCGCGTGTTCCACACGCGCCGCGGCCCCGGCCGCAGCCCCATGCAGCCCCATGCAGCCCCCGGCTCTCGGTTCCGGGCTGGCCCGGCTCGGGCCCCGGGTCGCGGGCACCGGCCCTGAGCTTCAGCCCCGCCCCGGCCCTGAGCTTCAGCCACAGCCCGGCCCGCGTTCGGCCTTGCCCCCGGCTCCGACCCCAGCGCCCGGGCTCTGGCTCCGGGTTTCGATCCAAAGTCCCGACTTTGGCTCCCGGTCACATGAGCTCCGGCCACGGCACCCGCCCCGCGCCCGGGGCCGAGGCGCCGACACCAGCCCCCGCCCCGACCCGGTCTTGGGCAATAAACGCGGCCCCAGCCTGGGCCCCAGTCCACTCCCCAGCTCCGACCGTGGTCCCCAGATCCCAGGACCCTTTCGCTTCCCAGGGCTCCCCACCCCGAACACGAAACAACCCCCTCCCTCGATCACCCCCGAGCGAAACGAGCGCTCCTCCCCCCGAAAACGGAACAATTCAGGAGGGAAAGAAACACACAGACACAATTAATCGTCGACTCCCAGGAAAATATAGGAAAATATGGGAAGTGGGGGGGAAGACAGAAGCCCAGAAAATATGGGAAAATATAGGGAATTATTTTATTTGTGTGTATTTATTTGTGTGTCCTTGGGCCCCTTCAACAATCAACGAAACGAGCCTTTCTTCCTTCGAAAACGCCCTCCCCCTCCCTCCCTTACCGCTTCCACAGCGGAAACCAAGCCCCCCACGGACCGAAAACGGAACAATTCCCATTTCCCCCCCAACGAAAACGGAACGATTCCCCCTTTCCCACCAAGAGCGGAACGCGCCATTCCCCCGCCGCCGAGAATTGAACAACTACCCCCCTCCCCTCCAAAGCGAAACCAAATCTTGTGCACCGTGCCGCGCTGGAGCGGAGCTTCAGAAGGGGCTGGCGCCACACGCGTGCTCACCCGTCGGGCGGAAGCGATGCTCGACATCCTCCGCGCCGCCGCGCGGCGCCTTCGGTCCGCGGCCGGTTCGCGCCGCGGCGCCTTCGGTCCGAGCGCGGTGCGGTGCACGGACGCTCTTCTCGCACCCGCCCAGCGCGCCTCGAGGAGGCCCGCGCCCCCGAGGGCAAGCTGGAGGCCCGCGAGGCGAAGAAGACGAAGAAGAGGAAGGCGGAGGTCCCGCTGTCGTCGTCCCTGCTCTTCCTCCTCCTCCTTTTCCTCCTCCTCCTCCTCCTCTTCACCCTCCTCCTCCTCCTGCTCCTGCTCATGCTCCTCCTCCTCGTCCTCCTCCTCCTCCAGTTCCTCCTCCTCCTCCAACTCCTCCTCCTCCTTCTCCTCTTCATCCTCCTCCTCCTGGTACCTTGCACCCAGCACCTGACGTCACGAGTGTCTCCTGGACGTTGGCATCTCTTCTCCGTGTCCTGCTTGCCTCGAAGGTAATAGTGCATAAATGTGGGCATAAATTTCTCGAGCTCCGCGCGGATCTGTTAGATCCCTTGATACATGTTGGCGTGTGCCCGAGAGAGGAGATTGAGGAGGAGGAAACGGAGGAGGAGGAGGAGGAGGAGGAGGAGGGGGAGCAGCAGAAGGATCAGCAGGAGCAGCAAGAGCAGGAAGTTTGATTAGATCGTAGCCCTCTCATCTTGCACCTTGGGTCCGCAGGCACGTTCAGGCCGCTGCGCGTGGCTGTCTTTTCTTCCTCTCTACCTCTAAGGAAAGGTACCCGCCAGGGATTTCACGGCGGTTGGGCTTGCTCGGTTGCCTGATCACCTTAATTCTGGCTTTTCTAAGCCGCGTAAGGAGTGGCAGGAGGACGGTTCCCCCTCTGTCGCTCTGGTGACGATCGCCAAGGCTCGGTGGTGGGGGCTCTTCGGAGACCAACGAGTCTCCTTACAGGCGCCACGTGCGTCCTACTCCGACTACCCAACAGGAGCCGCACGATTGGCATTAGGGGGACGAGGAGGGGAAGAAGGCGAGCGAGCGAGCAAGCGCTTCGGCGGCCGCGTCGGAGAGCTGGCGGCCTGGTGCGGTGGGCGCTCCTCGGCGTCCTTGCGTGTTGCTGGTGCAATTCAAGACGAGATGGCAGGAGCGCCCGAGGGAACCTTCGAGAAGAGGGAATATGAGAGGAGGAGGAGGAGGAGGAGGAGGAGGAGGAGGAGGAGGAGGAGGAGGAGGGGGAGGAGGAGGAGGAGGAGGCTCTTGGACATGGCTCTTGGACGCTCCCCGGGCCGAGCGACAGGCATACCCTCCTGTCGAGCACAAGGGATTCGTGTTCACCCCCCGTCGTTCACCCCTCGGCCTCGAGTCCATCTCTGGGCAGCCCGACCCGCCAGCAGCAGAGCTACCAGAGCCTGTGCCGATGGAAAAAGATGGGGAGGAGGATGAGGAGGAGGCGGAGGAGGAGAAATGCAACGCAGGCAAATCCAATGAGGAGGATGAGGAGGAGAGGGATGAGGAGGTGCCCAAGCATGTCCGTGTTTCACTAAGGATGGGAAGTTACAATGCCCTGTCCTTGTACGGGGATTCGGATCCCGACGCTTCGGTGTCTCGCCTCGCCGGCGCGGAGTCGCTCCCGGTTCAGCTCCGCGACTCTGGCTTCCACACTCTGGGAATACAGGAAGCCCGCACGACCGAGGGCACAAGTGCGGCAGGAGGCTTCGTCATGATGGCTGGGGGTAGTGACAAGGGTAACCTAGGGTGCGAATTCTGGATCGCCACCGACAGGCCCTACGCGAAGCTAGATCTCAAGGAGTTCTTCCTCCGTCGCTCTCACCTCCTGGTCCTCCACAAGTCCCCCCGCCTACTGTTCGTCCGTCTCTCCGCCCCCTACTTCCATGCTACGTGCATGGTGGCCCACGCCCCCCATTCCGACCACCCCCTCGAATTCGTTCAGAGATGGTGGAGGGAGGCCACCGCCACGGCGGTCAAGTTTGGTGTCACTTGCTTCCTTGGTGACGTCAACGGCCGTTTCGACCAGTCACCCACCCCATTCTCAGGGTCGTGCGGCTTCGCTCAACCAGTCGATCGAGGGGGTATCGAGTTTTTGGAGCTCCTGCACTCCACCCATCCCTTTGCCTCCACCACGCTCCTCCCTCCTTCCGGGGCCTTTCACAACTGGGTGTCTTCTTCGGGGTCGAAGCATCGTATCGATTTTGTTGCCCTGGGGGGTACGCTGCACCGGCTGGTCCGTAATCACGGGGTCATCGAAGACTTGGACAGACCACACGATTGCGAGGATCACGTGCCAGTGTGGGTCGATCTCGAGTCGCTCGTTCTTCCCAGGGCCCCCCCACCACCAACATTCTCCCGGAGCGGTCTCAAGGACCCCTCGGCGGTGCAGGATTTCCAGCAAGCTTTGTTGGACCTGCCCTTGCCGGACTGGTCCGTTGATGTCCATACGCACGATTCGAAACTGCGTGAGGTGATTCTGGCACTTGCGCGTAGGTTCTTTCCTCCCGAGCCCTCAGTGCCCGTACGCCCATTTGTCAGACCATTCACATTGGAAGTGATACGTTGGAGGAGAGCGCTCCGAAGACCACTTCATTCGGATCCCGAGTTGAAGCTGCAAGGGCTGAAGAACCTTGCCACGTCTCTCCTCCAACAACGGTCTTTGTCCCTCCCTGTCTCTCCGCCGCCATCTGCCGTTGCTCCCCTGGCTGCTTGTGCGATTGCCGCTTCTTCATTCTTGACGGGCGCCTTGCATCCGGCAGAGTTCGAGTCGGTACTGCTCGCAGCGCTGAGGTGTGCACGGAAGGTTGTGCGCCAGCTATTCGAGGCAGACAGGTGCGTTTTCTTGGAGGGTTTGGGGGAGCAGGTCGCCCGGGCTGGGCGGGCCCACGATTCGGCCCAGCAGTGGCAGCTCCTTCGCATCTTGCAGCGCTTTGGAGGGGGAGGTAGACAGGCTACTAGCACTCCCCGGCAGCTGCCGCTTCGCACAGATCCCAAGGGCAACGTCCTCACGTCGTCCCAGGCCATAGCGGCAGATGTTCGTGCAAACTTCGCCACGATCGAAACTGCTGAGATTTTGCCGTCCATTGCCCAAGCTCGGAGGTACAACAAAGGGGGGCACGATTTAGGTGCTGGGATTTCCCGTTCTATCCAAAACGTGATGCCCCTCCGGCAACTCACTTCGTCCTTCAAGAGAGCACCGAAAGGCACGGCACCAGGGCCAGACGGGATCCCAGATGCATTGTTGAGCGCTGCCCCAAGAGCCATGGATCGATTGGTGCACCCACTCGTGGTCAAGGTCCATCTGCACGTGCAAGAGCCACTCGCGTGGCAGGGCGGCACGGCAGTCCCTCTTTACAAGGGTTCCGGGGGATCACGTCTTAGCGTTTTCTATCGGAAAATCTTCCTCGTGAGCAACATCACCAAACATCACCACCGGTCCCTCAGGAAACAGCTCCTCTCTATCACCTCCTCCTTCTTCGGGGAAACGCAGTGCGGGGGGCTCGAAGGTCGTTCTACAACAATGGCCTCGCACATGACCCGAACCTTTCTCCTGCTAACCCAGCAGAAGAAAGTTTCGGCGATTTTATTCTTCACAGACATTAAAGCAGCATTCTATTCCGTTGTGCGGGACTTTGTTTCCCCCTTCCCCACTGACCCCGAGGACTTGGCCGAGGCGTTGGAAAACGCAGACATCCCATTGCAGTTGCCCCCTGCCCTGGAGGCTGCCTTGGCCCAGCCCACCATCCTGGATTCCCTGACCCCGGACAAGCATCTAGTGGCCATGGCGTCTGAAGCGCGCACACACACATGGTTCCGAGTAGCTGGGGATCACAAGATCTGCCGCACTCGCACTGGGACGCGTCCGGGGGGGCCCCTGGCCGAGTGGGTTTTCAATGTGTCGTTCGCCGGGGCCTGGAAAATGCAGGCCTTCTGCTCCCGCTCGACGCCCCCCAGGAGCGACTTTTCTCTCCCCCCGACGAGCACAAGGCCACGGAAGCCGCGGGAATCGCTTTCGTAGACGATACGCTTGCTCTGTGCGTGGCTCTGGCCAACGCACATATCCGGGAGCTGATCGGAAACGCTGTAGACAGATTGCACGCGGCCATGATGGAAAAAGGTTTGCGACTGAATTTCGGCCCCGGCAAAACGGCTGCTATGGTAGACATCCGGGGCCCTGGATCGGTCTCTGCGCGTAAGGACCTCTTCCGTTGCCCGCCCAGCCCTGTGCTCTCCCCCAAGTACCGGCAAGCGGTCAACTTAGTGTCCAAGTACAAGCATTTGGGTAGCATGGCCCATCGTTCAGGTGCGCCTGACAGCGAGGTGGCGCATCGGAGGCAACAGTTTCATGTGGCCCCCTCAGTCGTTCAGTTTTCCCTCGGGTCCAACTGCCGCTACCCACGAAATTTTCGTGGTTGCACTCGCTCGGGATTTCTCGATTGCTTTTCGATTCGGCGGCATGGCACCGGTTGCGCGCGCATGCTTTCGAATCGTTGCAGGCCGCGTATCTGAAGGGCCTTCGGGCGGCGGCCCGATTGCGGACGAGGCCCGATGACCCCCAACCCTCGGTCGACGACGTTTTGGGCCATACTGGAAAAGCCCCCGTGGAGATCCGCATCCGCAGGATCAGGCTCCGCTGCGTGCCCAAATTGCTCTTCCAGGCCCCCCCGCAATTACGGTTGCTCTTGGATCTCACAGCCCACCACAAAGATTCTTGGGTGCAGCTGATCTTGGAAGATATCAAATGGGTCCGTTTTTTGGGGGGGGGACGCCGCGCGAGCACCTCGGGAACCCAGCGGATGGATCCGGATCGCTCGGGAATCGCCGCAAAATTACAAGCGTTTGCTTAGTTCGGCTTTCTCTGCCCACGAGAGGTGGTGGGCAGACCAGTGTCACCTCCGTCAGTGGCAATCCCGCCTCCGGAGTCTGTGCCGGGCGGCCGCCTTTTCCGCCGCCGCGAACATGCCTCGCCCAAGACCAGACGGTTGCTTACCCATGCTACGAGTGTGACCACGTCGCCCACACGCCGGGGGCTTGGAGGTCCCACAGGACGAAAGCACACCCGTCCACAGACCTTGCCGGGTCCCTGGCCGGGCCAGGAGGAGTGTGTCATATATGCCTTCGCGATTTCCACAGCCGCCCGCGCCTCCTGAAGCATTTGCGGCACGGCGCGGAAGCGCGTCTCCAAGGGTTAATCCAAAGGGGGCGGTTCCTCCCAGCGGAGGAAATTGAGGTTTTCCAGCAGCAGGACCACATGGACGCCGTCGCCCTCAGCGTTGTTGGGCTTCGCCCTACATCCGCCGAGACCCCCCCGCAAGAAGTCTACGGCCCTGCTTTGCCTCCACCGCCACCAAGCCACCTGTGGGTCCCCACGCGCATCCCAGCCCCGGCCGTGGCGCACACTGAACATGCTCCCTTCCGCCCGCCCCGCTCCGACATCCCCAGACTGCGTCGCACGGTTTTTTACGTCTTGCACTTGTTTGGTGGCCCACGCCACCCCGGAAATGTCCAGGACCACTTCGAAAGCTTAGTGTCGGCCGCGGGAGCCCTTCTGGTCATGCTAAGCTTGCCAGTGGCCAGCGATGAGGTCCAAGAGTGCACGTTTGAATCACATTCGACACTTTTTATTCATGGACCTCATCCAGGAGGGGCACGCGATTGGGGTGTTCGCGGACCCGCCACGAGCGACGTGGTCAGCAGCTCGACCGAGTTTTCTTGGACGACACAGGGGCCCCCGCCCTGTCAGATCCATCGGTAGCTTATGGGGGATCCCCACGAGCTCCATTTCTGAGTGGAGACAACTCGAACTGGGCAATGCGCTGTCCAGATCGTGTCTGCTACATGTTTGGAGCGGCAGGCACCTTTACACACCCCGCGCCCCCTTCTGACCCCCTGGTTCCCTCTTGCTGGTTCCTGCCAGAGGTTGTCCATTTGCGCACCCTGGGCAGGCAAGACACTAGCGGGAACTTGGATTTTGTCTGGGTCGATCAATGCGAATTCGCGGCCACCGCGGTCGAACCCACCCCGTTTTTACTGGTTGGTTAGCCCTCGTTTCGACAGGCTGTGTCTGGCCTTCCGCGCGGAGGGCGTTGCTCCCACAGAGACAGCTCAGGCAGACACCCGCGCGAGGCTGCCAGCGGCGGCGTCCCCGACGACCTCCGAACAGCGCAACCCGAGCAATACAGTTCGGAGTTGTGCGCTTTCATAGCGGCACATCTGTTCCAAGCTGTCACCACTCGGCTGCCGGAGGCGGCCGG